AAACCAGCTGCTGGTGTCAGGAGTCATAGTGGGTGAGGGGAAAAGAGACTTCCCAGCTAGGGGTCCACAGCAGGAAGCACGTGGGCCAAGCTAGGGGTGTCTGGGACCAGCAAGGAGCTTAGAGGTGGGGAAGAAGATAAGGCATCGAGTCAGCAAAGGGACCCAGTGAACACACCAGGAGTCAGGGCCTGGGGAGCCAGGAACCAGGTAGGGTGAAGGGTGCAGCATTCACAGTGCTTCTCAGTAGTAAGAGCTGAAGCAGGACCATAGCAAGTTCAAGTGGGTGCTGGACTTTATTATACAGTGTGAACAAGTGCAGCCTCCAATTTAGTATCTAGCACCTAGTAGGTACTCAATAAATGTTCACTGAATGTATGAGTAAATGCATGCATATATAAATGAATGGATTTAGTGGTGGACTTCTCGACTTTTCCAATCACCAAGCACCTCAAAGTTCAGAAAGAAAGAATAATACCTTGCTTAAGTAGGCAGGGATGGTTACAGAAGCTCAAATACCCAGAAATGCCCTCAGAAATTTTCCAGGTGAAGACAGCATGTCTTATGACAGTTTGTCCAACAGAAACAGGATTAGAAGAGACTGTTATTTCCTCTTCCTTTAAAACAACTAATAATTGCTTACTAGGTGCCAGGTGCTGGTCTCAACATGTAATGCATTTTAACTCAGTCCTTGCAACAGTTGCCAGAACCTTGCTTGGAGCTTATCCATTCTAAAACCACGAAAACCCCAGAAAACAGGGCAGAGCTGGTTGCTCTATGTACACTATACAGGGGGAAAAAAGACGAGGCTATTAACTGTGCTTGGGACAGGTTGGGTGGTTTGTGTTTTTCAATGGCCTGATGGCTGCTCCTCACCCTACCCTGCTCCCATTCCCTCCTGGGGAGTGAGGACTGCAGCGAATCTGCACGAGGAGCAGGACTTGGCCACACAAAGGACTGAAGTGGGAGAGGGTAACGCAGAAGATGACAAGGTGCTGGTTATGTGTGGGTGGGGGAGCAGTCACCCCTCACTTCTGCTGGGACTCCGGAGGGATGGGGAAGTACAGTGTGAGGCGGCTGAGGAGGGGTCAGATCACTCAGGGCCTTGAGAGTGATGGGACACCAGTCTCATAGGGCAGGGCTGTTTTGAGTTTGGGCATTTACTTTGAAGCTGCATAACAAGCCTGTGTCTCTTCTTGGAATGCAGGTTTCTTTGGAGGCCTTGGGGAGGGACTGCTGAAGAATATGGGAAGTCTGAAACTGCTCCCAAGTCCCACCTTTATAGAACAATTTCCTAAGCTTCCTACTGCCTTCAGGGGAACACTTGTGTATGCATAATGTTAATAATACCACCTAAGAAGAAAAATGCTCAGCAGTGCAATGAGTTGGAGAATGCCAGGGTACACAGAGTCCAACGGGTGTCTTTGGTTACTTGCTGCTGCTGCTTTTTCTTTATTTTTAAATTGTAGATGTTTCCTAGTTATTAATAAGCTGCTGAGAAGTGTGGATCTCAAAGAAGGTCACAGAGCACACAGCACCTCCCAAACTTGGTTGTTCTCGTGACACAGTTTGCAGTCACAGCCATGACCCGTGGGGATCCACTTGCTCACGGTTCAAAGCAAGGCAAAGGCAGGCTCAAGTTTCCTTGAGGATGGAGAGTTGGGGTACATGGACCCAGGGCAGAAAATAATGTGGGATGAGGGAGATGGTGGAGAAGTGTAAGTAGCCTGGTCAGTCTACCCTCATCCCACCTCCACCCTCAACCTCCCTCACCAAAACTGCTGTCTCTTCAGCCCCTGAGTTCCTGTGAATCAATAGCCCTGAGGAAGGCTGATAAATATATACACAGATATGTATGATGTACATATGTATATATATTCACCCAGGGCTAGACTCCTCCATTTCACATTCAAAACCACCTCCTAAGGAGAGGAAAAATGGCCACAGCCACCCCTGCCCAAGTCCTTAGGTCAGTTCTCCCTGGGTGTTTTCACCAAGGTGCCCCACCCTGGCTGCTTGAAGGGCTCTGTGATGACAGCTCACCTGCAGTGATAGAAGTGTACATTGTGGTGGGGCTGTGCGATGAGAGCTCACCGTCAATGGTGGTAATGTCCATTGTGGTGGAGTGGGAGGACATCCCTGGATAAGGCCCTGTGAACAGAGGACAAGAATCTGAGGTCAGAGAGGAAGACTCTCCATGCCTAGCAGCACCTTGGCCCAAGCTGCATCCTTTGCTCAGGTGAGAGCAGCTCTGTCAATAGGCCCAAGTGGACAGAAGCAGTGTGGTGCACCCACCGACTCTTAGCAGGGGTGCACAGACCAGGAGCCAGGTTCTGGTTGGTCACTGACTGGGATGGAACTGTTTGAACTTGAACCACCAGGTCACTCCAGGTCCATTAGAATTCTCTGCCATATGCCTGCACTGAGTTTGGTGCCTCCACCTGGTAGATGCTCAACAGTTATCTGTGGTGTGTATGAAGGCAGGGACTCTTGTTATGTTTACGACAGAATGTTTGTGGAGTATCTGATGCTTACACCAGGGGTCTGAGTCCATTTTGTATTGCTATAGCTGAATACTTGGGTAATTTATAAAGAAGAGAGGTTTATTTGGCTCACAGTTCTAGTGGCTGCGAAGTCCAAATTCGGCACCTGCATCTGTTGAGGGCCTCATACTGCTCCCCCTCATGGCAAAAAGCAGAAGGGCAGCAGACATTTGCAAAGAGACCACAAGGTGATATAGAAAACAAGAGGTTTAGAAAGCTGAATTTGGTTTTATAACAACCTGCTCTCAGGTAACTAGTCCAATCTCATGACAGAAAGAACTCTCTCCCTTCCTCAATGGGGTATTAATCTATGCATGAGGGATCCGTCCCTATGACTCAAATATCTCCCACCAGGTCCCACCTCCCATCACTGCCACATTGGGAATCAAATTTCAACATGAGCTTTTGCAGGGTCAAACCACATCCAAACCATAGCACCAGGTGTTGCTTTAGTTGTCTTCTATCTACTGTATCATGCAGTCTTCACAGCCATCCTATGAGGTGCCTGGTGTTATTGGCCCATGTCACAGGAAGAACACCAAGGCTCAGAGATGTGATGTGCCCATGATCACACAGCTCATTCAGAGTCAGGTCAGGACTTAGCCAGTGCTCTTGCCTCTGGAGTGGACGTTCTCTCTTGGAGAAGCCCTTCCCAGGGCTCCTGTCTGAGGAGTCGTTCCTGAAGCCCTCCCTTAGGTCTTTCCATTGACTGTCCTGTGGGAAGGACCAGTCTATGACACTATCCCAGTTACTGAATGCGTTTTTTCACAGCTTAATGGCCTGGCCAAAGAGGGCTGGGATGTGTAGGACATCAGAGACCTGCATGTTTCCTAGAGCTGCTGCACAGAATGCCTTCTCTCCTCTGGGAGATGACTGTGAAGAAGGATTTATTAGATCACAGAAATATCAGTGTTAATATAGGAAATCCCATGTTCCCATTACAATGGTTCTGCATAATAAAACAGAGAAGGATGCTTCATAATAGTCATTTCCACTCAGAAAATCACTTTAATTATAGTGTTTTGAGGTCATTCTCCCCAGTGCAGCTGCCAGATGCCTCTTTCTTATAAGAAACCAGCTGCTGGGGTCAGGAAGCTGGTTGGGTGAGGGGAAAACAGACTTCCCAGCTAGGGGTCCACAGTAGGAAGCAGGTGGGCCAAGCTAGGGGTGTCTGGGGCCAGCAAGGAGCTTAGAGGTGGGGAAGAAGATAATACAAGGCATCGAGTTAGCAAAGGGACCCAGTGAACACACCAGGAGTCAGGGTCTGGGGAGCCAGGAACCAGGTAGGGTGGAGGGTCCAGCATTCTCAGTGCTTCTCAGTAGCAAGACCTGAAGCAGGACCATAGCAAGTTCAGATGGGTGCTGGACTTTGTTATACAGTGTGAACAAGTGCAGCCTCCAATTTAGTATCTAGCACCTAGTAGGTACTCAATAAATGTTCACTGAATGCATGAGTAAATGCATGCATATATAAATGAATGGATTTAGTGGTGGACTTCTCGGCTTTTCCAATCACCAAGCACCTCAATGTTCAGAAAGAAAGAATAACACCTTGCTTAAGTAGACATGGATGGTTACAGAAGCTCAAATACCCAGAACGGCCCTCAGAAATTTTCCGGTGAAGACAGCATTTCTTATGACAGTTTGTCCAACAGAATCAGGGTCAGAAGAGACTGTTATTTCCTCTTCCTTTAAAACAAGTAATACTTTCATACTAAGTGCCAGGTTCTGCTCTCAACATTTAATGTATTTTAACTCAGTCCTTCCAACAGTTCCAATCCATAGGAGTTATTATTAGCCCCATTTTACAGATTTGGCAGCTGAGTCCCAGAAAAGTGTTATTCTCCCCGGCTTGTACAGCTACCTTGAGAGTCAGAAGTCTGTGATTTGAAGCCCTGGCAGCTTTGAGTCAGTGTGTTTTGTCTTGTAGCGCACTGCCAAGTGGAGAGCCTTGGTAAGCTGCTCTCCATTTGGCTTGAACGACTTGGGGTGCATTTCTTGGCTTGTTGTTAGGGACCTTGTACCCACATCTGTATACTGGGAGACTATACACACTTTCAGCAGGCCAGCCAGGGTGGGGGATGGGTGGGGCCTGAGACCTCCGGGGCATTGCCACTTGGGCCTCCCAATGTGGGCTCCCTCCATGCTCATGCCCACTGAGGAGCATGGTGGGCAGGAAAGTCCCTCTGCTGGAACTACTCCCTCCATGCCCCACGTCCTCCAAGTGTGTGGAGCTTGATTTCCACATGTCTCCCGATGTGATAGACTCCAGGGAAGTGGCACTTCAGCCGGACCAGAGCTGCCCTATAGTAATAGATCATTGTCAGCATAGAGAGGAAGCTCGAGGCTGTCTGGGAAGGTGCAGATGCCGTGAGACAGCGGTTCTCAAAGCATAGTCTCTGAACACACAGCATCCTCTGGGAGCCTGTTAGAAATAGAAATTCTCAGGCCCCAGCCCAGACCTACTGAAGAAAGACACTAGGACTGGGTCCCAGTAATTACTATAGTAGATTCTGACGCATGCTGTAGGCTGGGAAGTGCTGGTGTAAGGAGGGCTTCTGGAAGCGGTGACATCAGGCTTGGTCCTTTAAGGACAAATAGGACTTTGCTGCACAAAGCATATAAGCATTCCAGGCAGAGAGCTCAGCATCTAAGGCAGCTCTCCCCACTTCTCAGCTTTCTCCCCAGTGTCTGCTTGCCATCCACGGCTCCAAGGCTCCGGAAGCTTCTGGAGATGGCGGGGTGAGAGTCCCCCTTGGCGCACTCCCTTGCCCTGTGCTCATTCAGCTAGCATCAGTGATATCAGGTCTTTGGAGAAGGCTGGCTGAGTGAGCTCAGGCCCTGCCCAGAAAGTAGGTGGTTGTCTGCATCCAACTTAAGGGGCCTGGAATGAAAGCCTGCCCCTTGCTGGAGCTGAGGGATGCTTCTGAGGTTGGGATTAGGTTCATGCTGAGCTCAGCAACTAGGATGAGGGTGATCTGCAGGCAGCCTTGGGGGTGCGTTTATGGCAGAGTAAGGTGTTAATTACGGCCAAGCTTGGGTCTGGTATCAGAAATAGACAATTACCCAGCACAGCGATTGGACAGACAAGAGAGGACCCATTTTTTGGAAAGACCCAAGCATCCTACTTTTTTTCTTCTGAGCCCTCCTCCAGGTTGCAAGGTCCCCTGCTGCCCCCTGCAACACCCCCGCCAGACAGGAAGCTCCACACCTTCGGGCTTGTGTTGCTCACAACTCTATACTCAGCTTTGTACTGGGTGCCTGGCACTGAATGACAACTGCTCAACATTTGAAAGCCTTCTGGGGAACCACGAACCAACTAAACTGCAGCCTTCACTATGCTCATCGGAGCTGGGAATGGCTTTTCATCCAGAGAATTTGCCATTGGCTGCAGTCATCCCTATCAACTCTCTATGTCCTCAGGATGTCAGCTGTCTATTCTCTGGCGGAAGGCAGCCACCCCTGGAGGCAGCGGGGCACACATGCACAGCCCTGCAGTGCGGGCAGTGCTGTCTGCTTCAGTTGGCAGCTTGAGTGCAGCTATTGGGGTGAAGGACCTCAGCTGCAATGGATTCTCAGGGGGCAGTGGTGTTTTTCCGACGTGGATGGAGAGCAGGGGTCAGGTGCTAGCCCTGAGGATGGAAGTCATGCTCCTCTGTTGCCACCAAGAGCCTCTCTTCTCTTTCATTTTCAGATGACACTGTGCTAAAAAGTTATTGTTTTTCCCGCATGGGCTGGTCTTTACATTTCCGTATCCAACTCCCACGGCTCCCCTCTGCCATAGGCGTTGTTGAAGGAGTTCCCCACTTCCTGTCTTCCACTGTCCATCTGGTCCAGCAAAGAAAGAAGAATTCAGGCACAGGGTGAGGGCTTGAAGGAGGGGAGTGAGAGTGAGGATGGCTTCAGACTAGAACCCCCAAGTGTTCTGGGAGGAGGAAGATGATCTCAGCCTCAACATCATCACAGGAAATGTAGGTTTTTCATGGGGGACTTGGAGACTTCCTGCAATGACAAACCTTGTTGGTGACAGTGATGCAGCAGCAATGGCAGCGTCGACTGCTTGACAGTTGGCCAGGTGCTGTGCTAGTTACCCAGAGTGTTCAATTGAGAGGAACTTACGGGCCTGGTTAGAAAAGTCAATTTACCAGGCCGGGTGCAGTGACTCACGCCTGTAATCCCAAATTTGGGAGGCTGAGGTGGGTGGAACATCTTAGGTCAGGAGTTCAAGGCCAGCCTGACCAACATGGTGAAACCCCGTCTCTACTAAAAATACAAAAATTAGTTGGGCGTGGTGGCGGGTGCCTGCAATCCCAGCTACTCTGGAGTCTAAGGCAGGAGAATCACTTGAACCTGGGAGGTCGAGGTTGTAGGGAGCTGAGATCGCAACATTGCACTCCAGCCTGGGTGACAGAGTGAGAATCCCTCTCAAAAAAAAAAAAAAAAAAAGAAAAGTCAATTTACCAAGCACTCTGAAGCAGCAAGGCTTTGTGCAAGTCTGATTTGGGGTTCAAGAGCCGGACAGCTATGGGGGAAAGAACAGTAACCTTTAGGGGTGTGGAAAGTGCTTCGCAGCTAGCACTGTGGTTTTTCTTCCTGCTCTGGATTCCT